GATATCATCTCTGAAAACCAGTGTGAAGAGCTAGCAAAACATCCTGATAAAAATCACAGTAAACCACACAATTTAGGGTGGAATGGGAAAAGTAATGTAGAGAGCCGACCTCCAGAACTGCCCAAGAAAACTGAAGCAAAGTAGAACATTTCTACACACAAGGGGAATATAGCAGCATTCCTATAAATTATACGATGCTTCCTTAAAATGGAACTTTTTCTGCACAATTGAAGTGATGTTTGATTTCTCTTTTTCCAAGCCTAGCCACTTAGGCAAACTCATGTGTTAGATAGGTGAGTAAAATTTTGGTGAGAACAAATGTGCTAAGAAATAGGATTCATTTCCATGTGATTTTCTTAAACTTGCTCCCTGACCAATTTTATTGTAAAATATATCAGTTAATCTAAGAATAGTAGCAAAATACTACAGTAATTGGACAAGTCAGAGTATTTTTGTATGCCAATAAAGGCCTGTTGTTGAAGGTTTGCCCCTCCTCTGCCTGTTTACAGCTTCTCAATTCCAGAGAAGAGAGGCCTTGTGGAAGGCCTTCTCTTTAGGCAATTTATACAAAACCACACTGGAACCATTAGATATTTGCACTGTATGAGGAGCTCTAGGTGTGAACTCCACTTGCTGTTGGGTTGATTCTAATCCCGTGTGCATCACAGTGCTCCACAGGAATGTCAATGGATGATTTTTTTTCCCTAAGGAGATAACCAGGACTTTCTTCCAGGCTGGCTGTGAGTAGATTCAGGCCTTCAACCTTTTTGTTAGCTGCTGTTGAGTGCATTAACTAGTGGCACCACTCAGAGACTCTTTGTGTTCACTAAAACTACTGTCACTGAGTTGATTTTTACTCAGGCAAACCTCCACTAAGTTTCTGAGAATTTATATCTTTACAAGAGGAGATTGCCCAGATTTCTCCTGCAGAGGCTTGTGGATTTGAAATGCTCAACTTTGGTTAACAGCCCAAGCACAGTGTACCAGGCTATGAGGGTCCTTATGTGTTCACTGTTGTTAGGTGCTTCAACTTAATTCTGACTCATAGCAACCCTTTATACAACAGATCAAAATCTTGCCCAATCTTAGAAATTAACCTACCTATCTACAAGAACCGATCAAATGGGGAAGTGACAACCTCTTCAACAATGATGCTGTCAAAAGTTTAACAGGACAGCAAGTAGTAAATGTTGGAGACGACGTGGTGAGAAAGGAGCTCTCATACATTGTTGGTGGGATTGTAAAATGGTACAACCACTCTGAAAAGCAGTTTGAAGTCTCCTAAGAAAGCTTGAACATAGAAATTCCATATGACCTAGATATTCCATCTTGGAATATACCCAGAGAGAATGAGAATTGAGGCACAGACGTAGACTTGTACACCAATGTTCATAGCAGCATTATTCACCATCACAAGAACATGGAAACAGCCCAAATGTCCAACCACAAACAAATGGATTGAAAAACTATAACACATTCACACAATGGAACACTATGCAGCACACAGGAGCAATGATTTTGTAAATCACTACCTAACTTGGGAGGGAGTGGAGAGCATTATGGTGAGTGAACTAACTCAATACCATAAGGACAAATAGTGTATAAAACCATTACTGTAGAATGAGTATGAGGGTCCAGGGGAGTGGGGCTGGGGTGATTAGGGGAGCAGATGCATGAGGATGGGTTGGGGGTGGAGGGTGGTCAATCATAGGCTCACATATTTTGACAGGTGGTGGTGAGGTGTGTGAAGGAAATGGAAAGGATTCAGTGTGAAAAACAATGTGTAAGAACTTTTTAAATAACCTATAAACAGGAGAGGATAAAATAGATGAATAGGACCTTCTAAGAATAAAATCTCTATGTACATCCAAAAACTTCAACAGGGTAAAAAAGGAAGCCACTGACTAGGAAAAAAAATATTTGGTAATAACATGGCCTATTTTTCATTGTTTTTGTTCAAACATTGTTTTAGGTCGTATATCCCTGGTATGTCCACGTGCCATACAGAGATAACTTGTGGTTGCTGTGAGGCTGAACACTATGACACGGATATGTCAAATGCGTTAATGGTTATCCATGGCGGACAGTGTTTGGTGGCGCTCCCCAATTAAAACAAGCTTAGAAGCAGGAGTGGCATCCACTTCTGTAATAGCTTGCCTCTGGAAATCCTATGGACCTGGAGAAAAAATGAAAGTCACACAAGTGTTGAGGACTTTCTTTCATAGGGTCACTATGAGTTGCCTAAGACTCGACGGCACTTAACAACACCACCACAATCAGATAAGGGACTTATATCTAGAATTTATAAAGTACACGAGCACCACAACAAGATAAAGGTAAACAACTCAACTGAAAAATGGGCACAGGATATGGACACTTTACCAAAAAAGACATTCACATGAAGAAATGTTCAAAAGCTCTAAGAGAGATGCAAATCAAAACAAATATGAGCTATCATCTCATCCCGGTAAGAATGGCAAAATTTAACAGAACAGCAAGCAACAAATGCTGGCGAGGTTGCAAAGAAACTGGAACCCTTATTCACTGTTGGTGGGAGTATAAAACGGTGTAACCATGCTTTCTCAAAAAGTTGCAAATAGAGATACTATTTGACCCAGCAATTCCACTACTGGGAATTTACACTAAAGAAACCATAACTGCCACCAAGCAGATATAGGCACACCCATTTTATTGCAGCTTTGTTCGCAATAGCAAAGAGTTGGAAAGAACCCAAGTGCCCATCAACAAACGAATGGATAGAGAAGTTGTGGTATATTCACACAATGGAATACTATGCAGTATTGAAAAACAAGAAACTCATGAAATATTATGCAAAATGGATGACCCTGGAGCACATTATGCTGAGTGAAATATCTCAGTCACAATAGGACAAACATTGCATAGGGCCACTGTTGTAAAACAGTACTGACATCAGGGTTGAGGGAAGATCGAAAAGGAGGGGAGGAATATGTATATTGCATTGAAACAGATGAGGGAGAGGACTGTTTTAAAGGGACATATGAATGGGTATTCTTTTCATGACAGAAGAGTAACGTGAAGGCTGCATAGTGGAGTGGACTTGAGGGGAGAGATTGCAAAACAGTGAAAGAGGTTTTCTCTTTCTTCATTCATTCATTCATTTATTATGTTTTCTTTTTCTTTTCATGGAGAATAATGAATTATAAGGGAGGAGATGGGCAGGGAGAAAAGTGCAACAGTGAATGACTGGAAACCCTAAGTCTCTGTAAACTTTCATTAAATAAAAAAAAAATCTGTTATCATAAAACAAACCAACCAAACAACTATGAGATATCATCTCACCCCAGTAAGAACAGCAAAATTTAACAGAACAGAAAGCAACAAATACTGGCAAGGTTGCAGAGAAACTGGAACCTTATTCACTGTTGGTGGGAGTGTAAAATGGTGTAACCACTATGGAAGGCAGTATGGCGATTTCTCAAAAAAAGTTGCAAAGAGAAATACCATTTAACCCAGCAATTCCATTTCTGGAAATATACACTAAAGAAACCAGAATTGCCACCCAGGTAGATATATGCACACCCATGTTTATTGCTGCTTTGTTCACAATAGCAAAGAGTTGGAAAGAACCCAAGTGCCCATCAATAAATGAATGCATAGAGAAGCTGTGGTACATTCACACAATGGAATACTATGCTGCATTGAAAAACAAGGAACTCATGAAATATTATACAAAATGGATGACCATGGAGAACATTATGCTGAGTGAAATATCTCAGTCACAAAAAGACAAATACAGCATAATGGCACTGTTAAAAAACAGGACTGACATGGGGGCTGGGGAGAAACTCAGAAAAGAGGGGATAAATAATCTACATGGCCGTGAAACAGAGGAGGAGAGAACTGTATAAAAGGAATATGTGATTAGGTATTATTGACATGATAAGAGTCCAGAATAAGAGCTGCAAAGTAAAGTGTACTTGGTGGGGGTGAAGAGGGGGAACTGTATAACAATGAAAGGACTTTTTTCCCCAAAGGAAAAAAGCGATCTGGGAAGGGGGCAGGGAGGAAAATGTGTAACTATGAATGATTGGAAACCTGAGTTCTTTATAAGCTTTCATTAAAATCTCAATAAAAAAGAAAAAAAAAGAAAATTAAAAATGAAAGGTTTTTAAAAGATAAAAAAGAGAACTTTTTAAATAAACCAGTATTTTTTTAAAAAAACAGAAAACTCAACCCTCCTGGAATTTTAAATGCAGAAAGGTGAAGCAGGATCTACATCTCACATCATACACAAAAATCAAATCAAGGTGGATCAGAGATCTAAAGGTAAAGCCCCAAACCATAAAGATCATGAGAGACTAAATGTGACCAAATTTAGAAAGCCTAACTTATGGGATAAGAGATGGGCAAATACAGGCAGGCAGAAATGCCCAAACAGAGATAACATTGATGACTGAGACCATCTAAAGATTAAGTTCCTGTGTGCATAAAAATGTTTCCCAATAGGGTGAAGATAAAACCTACTGACTGGGAAAAGACATTTGACCATGACAACTCAGACAAGAGTCTGCAAGTTTACAGAATACTACAGGGCCTTCAGAAGAAAAAGATTGATAACCCAATTATGAAATGGAGCAGCTTGGGAATTCAAACCACCTACCTTTGGATTGGCAGCACAACTTCTTATTCACTAGGGCCCTAGACATTTATTCCCCCTCATTAATGTAAATAAGGAAAATTAAGTACAAAGGCATTAAAGAGAATTTTTTGATACACAAAGGTGAGGGTTAGGGTGGCTGTCTCCTGGGTTAATACAATATTTAGCTTTTTCTTCCTAGTCAGTGTGTACAGAGAGCACCCATAGTTCATCAAGGGGGGCAATTTCTCTCTTTGTTCTAGATTTCCAATTTTCCTGATAGTTTCTAATCATCAGCTTCACATTTGTGGGTTAAGTAAACAAGTAGTCATGGATAGCTTTTCATGACCTTATAAATATATTTATCAAAAGATAAACAAACCTTTTAGTTTTCCATCAAAGTTCGGATTGGTAGCTACTTTCAAGCCAGGATGAGGTAGCAGAAAACAGGAAATTTTGGTGAAACAGGAATGGATATGCTTTCGAACATTCTGTAGTTCTTCATGCTGATTCCCTGAGACCTAAGAATAAATTGTTCTGAAGTTCAAACTTTTTCACTGTAGAACGAATTGGTGTCTTATATTCCTATGTCTATCTGGGCCCACAAGAAAAAAAAAAATCACAGGGCTGCTACTGAAAGAATAAAGTCTTGGGGTAAATTTCCCCATATCTAAGAATAGATAAAGCAGGCACATAGTGTAACTAAAACAACTAACAAATGTTTACTCTTTCATGAAGATAGGTTTTCTCACATTTTAGTACAAACTAGTTGGGTTTACTCTAGCTTTTGTTGCTGTTGTCAATATGTGTCATCATGTCAAAACTAACTCATATCTAACCCTCCAGTGGGATTTCAGAGAGTGTAAATCACATGGAAGAAGACTGCCCATGTTGTTCTCGTGGAGCAGCTGGTGGATTTGAACTACAATCCTTCAGGATGGAGTGGAACTCGGTACCACTAGGCCCAAAGAACTCTCTTTTACAATTTCAAATTTTCTTTAATTCAAACTACACATAGGAGACACAAGCAGGTCATAAGATATTACTACCAACTTTTTAGGATATACTCAAGACGCCTGTCATCTTACAGGTTCAAACTCCAAATTCCTAAAAGGTATCTCAACAAATGGGTTTATTTACAAATTAGATGGCTTTTTAAACAATGTATTTGACAACTTTTAAGATAGACAAACAACCTAAAAGTAAGCATAAAGAAATAAATTTAGAGATCCATCATTATCTGAGAATTTCTTTTAGCAACAATTGGGTATTTTTTCTTACATAGGTATTTCTGTGATATTTGTTTAATGTGAACAACTCATAAAATATTGAAATATGATTTAAAAATTGGAAGATCTTCTAAATTCTGTTCTTGTAAATTACTAGCAAAATTTCCCAAATTTGTCTTTGCAAATCTAAAAATTAGATACTTCTATTGACTTTAAAAATTTTTCTAAACAAAAAAACCAGACCAAGAACCCAAAAAAGATCATGAATCTGGATATATACACTGACAGTCTTGAACTGATGTAGTTCTTAAAAGCAAAAGTTTTGTCTTTAGGAATAATTAATGTCCAGTTAATCCATCTATTTGAAAATTACTTATAGTATTTAAAATTGTAAATAAAAGTATCTGATTAAATATCAATTTAGCTTGTTGATAAAAGACATTGTGAAGGTAACAGATTATGGTTACTGAGGATTTACTCAGGAAATAACAAAACTAATACACTTTAGATTCTGCTGGTGAAACTTCACACATCTAGACTGACATAGTGACTGCAAAAATTGTCTTAATCACACTAGAATTTGTGAGTATACTGCAGGAATAAGCATTATGTCATCCTATTGTTCACAGAAACACTGATTCAGCGCTGTCTCAACATCTACCAAGATTATATAACAAACCTTGAGGCGTTTTTCCAAGAATTTGGCACCACCATCAGCTCCATATGAGAATTCATATGGGAAACTCCAGTCTCGAACAAGAAATATCAGACTCTAAGAAAATAGTAAGAAGAAAGGATTGATATGGGAACTTTCATATGTCACCTTGGTTTTTTTATTTTAAAAATTTAAAATGACATTATTGTTCATAAATAGTAGGCAAGGTGATAACCACAGGATGCTCTGGCAGCATAGCCTGTAGGAAGTCAGGCTGCCAACTCAGAGGTGCCCCCTTTCTGGCTGTTCAAACTGACCAGAATCTAATGGAGAAAGGTGGGAAATCTCCCATGAGATTTGCAGCCTCCTGAAAACTCGCTGGAGGGTCCACTGTAAATCAGTTCTGACTCAAAGAGTTATGACTTATGGAATCAAAAAGCAAATACAAAACTTCTAAAGTTTGTAAGTAGTTTTTGCCCCTCTTTACATTCAGTGTTAAAGAAAGCTGCCCACAAAGTATCAAATGAACCCCTCTAAGGAGATAAGAAGTGGAGATGACCCTCAAACTGGCTGACTGATGCTATGTAATTTTAATTAGATTTTGTGTGGAACACATTCTTAGAAGTATTCTTTTCTGATGTCTCTAGCTGAATGTAGGCATAAAATGTAACATTGGTATTCCTTTCTTAATTAAATGATTTTAACTTTTTTTGCTATGCTATATGTACATACTCATCTAAAAAAATGAAATATACACACACACACACACACACACACACACACACAATTTTTTGAAGCTAAGAAAAGAGTTTGGCAAACTCTGAGGTTGAGTCATATTTAATATTTAAATTTTTAAAAATACAGACAATACATGGAAACCTTTACAGAGTAAGTGTACAGTGCAGCGGATTTCTACAAAGAGAACAGACGGAGGAGCAGTATCGAGACCAAGACATGGAAGCGCCCCGCACTCTGGAAGCCCCTGCTCCTCTTTCCTCTCATTCTCTTCTCACACTGTGGAGCTTTAGGGCACAGTCCACAGACAGTCAAGCCGCGAATCCAAAGGCTGCTAATCAATCTCTAGCAGTTCAAATCCACCAGCATCTCCAAGACAGAAAGACGGGAAGTCTCTTGCCATTGCAATTTACAACCTCAGGCACCAATGGAAGAATCACTATGAGCTGACTTGATGGTAGTGAGTGAGTCTGGAGAGTTACCACTATCCTGACTTGATGTGAAATTGTGGCATTAATGCAGCACTAACAGCAGGTTGAATGTAAATGCAAATTTTACAGAAATAATGACCATGTGAACACATTACTAGTGTCCCTCCCAGGGCTTTGGAAGGAATGCAAGTGAGTGAGAACCCTTGAACCTTAACATGATAACTCTGACCCTGGTAATAGAATTGTTCTTTCATATTTATTGTTATTGTTGTTGTTGAGTGCCTTTTTTTAAAAATTCAAACCCCCCCCCCGTTTGCTCCTCTCCTTGAAAAGCAAAAGAAAAACTCCCTCATTGGTACACAATCACCCCCGCACTTCCCCAAACCCCACCCCCTACCCCCAAATATAATCCACTCTGCAACCCTCACTGCATACTCCTACGATAAAAATAATGCCCTAAAATATAATACTTTTAGACTATTCTCTCCCACATAGACTTCAATGCCATAAACATATTTCATCCAGTTTTTCTCAGTCTTACCCCCACCCCAATGCCAGCCTAATTCTACAACAGTGGCACCATATAGCATTTGTCCCTTTGTGACTGAGATACCTCACTCAGGATAATGTCCTCCAGGGTCAACCTAAATGCCCATCAACAAACAAATGGGTAGAGAAGCTGTGGTATATTCGCACAATGGAATACTATGCTGCACTGAAAAACAAGGAACTCATACAATATTATTCAAAATGGGTGACCCTGTTGAGTGACTTTGAGTCGAGCATGACTCATAGCTATCCAATGAACAAAAGGCCTGAAGCCTCTCTACAACTCTCAACTTTTATCAAAGTTCATAGAGTTTCCGAAGGCGTACTATTTCTAATATACATTTGTTTTCATTCCTTTCCTCCCTCCCTTTCATTTTGTGTGTTTTTAAAAGTCTATCAACTTTAATCTCCTTTGATTTCTAATAATTATTTTTCTATGCTTTGTCATTTCTAACCTATCTCTGATCTTTGTAATGTTAATTTTTCTCTTCCATTTTTTTCCTTGACAATTCAGCTAAATATTTATCTTCTACTACCATCGTTTCTTTAATCTCAGAAAAAAAGAGAGTTCATGCTTTCTTTGAGTTTCTTTGAGACTGTACTAAGTCATATGTTTGAAATCTTATTCCATTTTTTACATAATTCCTTCAGTAATGTATGCTCTTAATTTTTCTAATTACTTTACACTTTTTTCTTTTTATTTTATATTGTTGTTGGCACCATCAAATCAGAACCAACTCCTAGCTGGCAGGTAATCATGTGGTAGGAAGAAGCCCATCTTGCTCCTGGAGAGCAGCTGGTGGATTCAAACCACTTGTCCTGTGGTTGGTAGTACAACTCTTTAACACTAAGTCATTCGAGTTCCTTTGTAATTTATAGTTTGTACATTTACATTTTGATTCATTTCCAATTGTTGCTGTCAGTTGTCACTAATCTGTTTCAACTCACATTAATACTATGTTATTGTTATGTGCTGTCTAGTCGCTTGCAACTCATAGTGACCCTATGTACAACAGCTCTGAATCCTGCTCTGTCCTGAGCCAACCTCATTGTCTCTGACACACCTACCCCCATTACCCCAGTCATTGAGTCAATCTAGCTCATCCAGGGTCTTTCTCTCTTGTGCTGTCTCTCCACTCTCCCAAGCATGATACCCCTCTCCAAGGACTGGTTCCTCCCTGCATCATGCCCAGAGCATGTCAGACAAAGCTTCAGAGTCCATGCTTCCAAGAAGCATCCTGGCTTCACCCTCTCCAGGATGAAAATGTTTGTTCTCCTAGCAGTCCATGGTATATTCAAGAATTGAATAAAACAAACTATCCAGTCTTATATCATGCTTACAACCACATGGCCATGTATTAAACCTGGTTGTCTGGTTGCATCACTATACTAAGCAGCCTTTCATATACTATCTCTCACTGCCATCAAATAGTTTCCAATCATAATGACCCTCTATTGGGTTTCAGAGGCTCTAAATCTTAATGGAGGGAAACTGCCCATCTTTCTTCCAAGGAGCAGCTGGTGTGTTTGAATTAGCAAACTTTGGGTTAGGAGACCAACACATGATGCAATATATCACTAGTGAGCTGCTCATATAAAATAGTGAAAGGTATATAAAAATAGATCTTGCTATATAGAGCTTTCTATAGCTCATTTGATAATGCAAATAAAAGCAAGTGACAACATTCACAAGACATCATGCCTGGCAAAGTAGAAAGTCATCAATGAAGAAGATCTGCGATGTGATACACTGACACAGAAGCTACAATGGTGCACTAAACAACAACAGGGCCTCGACTCTCCTGATAAAGTGTCCACGGTACGTGAGGCAAAATCTCACCATGTCATGCTGCCAAGGACCTCTTTAAATTGCTAAAAACTGAAGGGGTCCATCTACAGACTAAGGTGCAACTGACCCAGGCCATGGTAATGTCCAATTGCTTCATATGCATGTGAAGATTGGAAGATGTATAAAGAAGGATAAAGAAAAAGTGCCAAAACAACAATGAGATATCATCTCACCCCAGTAAGAATAGAAAAATTTGACAGAACAGCAAGAAACAAATGCTGGTGAGATTGTGGAGAAACTGGAGCCCTTATTCACTGTTGGTGGGAGTGTAAAATGGTGCAATCATTCTGGAAGGCGGTACGGCGCTTTCTCAAAAAATTGCGAATAGAGATACCATTTGATGCAGCAGTTCCACGCCTGGGAATATACCCCAAAGAGACCAAAACTGCCACTTAAGCAGATATATGCACATCCATGTTTATTGCGGCTTTGTTCACAGTAGTAAAGAGTTGGAAACAATACAAGTGCCCATCAATAAATGAATGGACAGAGCAGCTGTGGTATATTCACACAATGGAATATTATGCTGCAGTGAAAAATAAAAAACTCACGAAACATTATTCAAAATGGATAACCTTGGAGGACATTATGCTGAATGAAATATCTCAGTCACAAAAGGATAAATACTGCATAGTGCCACTGTTGTAAAACAGGACTGACATTGGGGTTGGGGGAGACTGAGAAAGCTGGGATAAATTATGTTTACTGCATTGAAACAGATGAGGGAGAGAACTGTTTAAAAGGGATATATGATTAGGTATTATTGTCATAACAGGAGTCCAGAGTGAAGGCTGCATAGTGGAGTGGACCTGGCGGAAGGGATTGTAAAACAAAGAAAGTACCTTTCTTTTACTTTTCAAAATGAAGGCTGCATAGTGGAGTGGACTTGAGGGGAGGGACTGTATAACAACAAAATAATTTTTATTTTATTTTTCAAAGAGAAGAGCAAACTGGGGGGAGGTTGGCAGAGGGAAAAAAGCAACAATGAATGAACAGAAATCCAAAGTCTCTGTAAATGTTCATTAAATTAATAAAAAAAATTTTATAAAAAGAAGAATGAATGCTTTTGAACTGTGGTGTAGACAAAGAATTTTGACTATTCTATGGAATGCCAAAAGAAAAGAGATCTGTCTTGGAAGAAGTACAGGCCGAAAACTCCTTAGCAGCAGAGAGAATTCATTTCACATAATTTGCTCATGTTATTAGGAGGAGCAGTCCCTGGAAAAGGACAGCATGCTTGGAAAAGTGGAGGGTCAATGAAAAGAAAGACCCTAGTGGTAAGGAGCTGCAACTACAATCCCAGAGGCGCACGGTTAGAATCCACCAGACGCTCTTCCAAGGAAGGAGGGACAATCTCCTCCTGTACCAGTCAGATCTGATTTGACAGTACACTCACACAAAAACAATAAAATAAAAAAAAAAGAAAGACCCTCAAGGAAATGGACTGACACAGTGACTGCAATGACAGCCTTAAGCACAATGAGATCATGAGGATAGTGCATGTGAGGCTGAGATTTTGCTTTATTGTACCAAGAGGTGCTAGGAATTGGACC